AAAAAAAAAAAAGCAGTGGAGGATAGTACAGATTATAGTGGCTATAACACCATCTACTGGCCATGTGACATAGAGGAAGCAAGGGGCTTGTCAGAGACTATACTTACAGCAGACCTGTAAGCGAAAAGTGGTCACTGAACTGGAGCTTCTGCAGACAAAGATGTTAGTTTCCACAAAGGTACTGTGCTTTCTCTACACACTATCTGTTCCCTCTATGGTATGCAACCAGGGGGATAAGGAGATGGCACCATCCGGGCACCATCAGTTCAGCAGGGGGGAACAGGCAGCTTTGTTGCGCTGGCATTTCCAAAAGTTCAGTGCCCTTCCCCCAAACTGCTATAAGCTGCTGCGGGGGGAGGGGGGGGGGGGAGAGTAGGGGCACAGGGTGATGAGATTCAGGGCTTGAACTCCCACACACTGTGTTTTACTATGCATCAGTTTGTGAATAAACAGGGAGCCTCTGTACAGAGGCTGCAGAGAAAAGATAGGGGATCTAGGTCCTCAATCTTTCTTTATCTCAAAAGTGACATTTACCAAAGCAACACCCCCCAGCTGTTAAAAAAAAAAAAAAAAGTTAAAATTTAAAAATATATATTTAAAGCACTGCACAGATTTACTGCTCGTTTTGTTCTAGGAGAGAGGACAGCGAAGATATACTTACCTGAACACACACACACACAGTCCCTTCGGTTCCTGCCCAAATCCTCCCCTCCATGGTCCAGCAGTCTGTTCCTGACATCAGCAAGCTCCATAGACAAGAACAATCCACCGCTGGACTGGGGGTTTTCTGGAGGATTGGCAGATCAGGAGACTAGGCGCTTTGTCCTCACCCCTAGAAAAAAATGAGCAGTTGATTCATACAGTGGGGGCACAGTCCCACTACATGGTAGAAAAAAAATTGACTGGAGTTCTGCTTTAAGGGCTCATTCACACAGGTACTCTTGCCTTGTGAATGAGTGATTTGTTCTTGCAGCTGGAGAGGTGTTCAGGGTCATAAACCTGCAACCACACCCAACCAGCCTGTTTGGGGGGGGGGGGGGGAGGGTAGGCTGGCCTACCATGGGTAGGCTGGCCCAGGTGGCCCCATTAATTCTAACAGCAGCACTATTATTGCAGGCATTTCTTAAGCCCTTAGATCAAAATTAAAGTTAACCTGAAGTTTATCCATACAGGGCAAAGAAATCAGTGGCTTTAATACGCTCCCCCACCACCCTACACTTCGCAGCAGCACATGCGCCCCTTTTCATTACTCCCAGGTTGCTCCAGATATTGGGATCAAGGAAAGGAATCCTTGTGTAAGGTCTCTCACATGCTCCTCCATAGCTGAAAGTAACAAGAATTTTCCTTTCCCCGACGGCTGTTCAGAGCCAGGGTAGTGAAGGAAAAAGGAGTATAAGCTGCGGAGCAGAGGGGTGTTTAAAGAAGACCTTGCAATAAAATTCAAAGAGCACTCCTTGGATCAGGGCCCCATCCCATTGTACAAGTCGCTATATATTCGAAGGTAAACAATTTACCTGTACAGAAAAAGGTTAAAAGGAATACTTAACCTATTCCCCTATTTTGCACTGCACGATGTGATGTCACTATCCTTCTGGTAACACTGAGCACCCCAAATCCTGTGAGCATTGTTCTTTGAGGGTCTTCTTGGGAACCTCATCGTTCCCAGGATCTTGCCGAAAGGATATTGATGTCACTCTTGCCTAGGTGCCTCCTCCCCCCTCCTCCAGGGTACTGAGTACCACCATGTTCTGGCCAAAAAAAGCCTTGATGCTAAGTACACCATATTCTTTATTTTATTTTATTTCCACAACTTGCTGTTCATGCTATTGACCCATGAGTTGTCTATCATGCTTATAAACATTGGTTCCCCAAGACCTGAAAGTTATTGCAAGGGTTAAAAAGGTTGAGAAACTCTGCTTTAGATATAAATATGCCATATTTCAGTGTTTAGGCCACAATAAATGTGAGACAGGCAGCAGTGATGTGTTCTGATGCTGTCTCCATGACAACAGAGAAGAGAAAATTCTGGCTTCTGTTTACATTTGTGAAGGGCTGGCAGCTTAGGTTAAAGCTGGAAAGAGCCGTCTTTATCCTTTTTTATCCGTCTTTATACCTAATTTGATATCTGTAACAAGTGAATCTGAGAGCCATATGTGTGGACACGAGACAAGACTTCCTTAACAATCAATCACTTTCCAGCATTCATATATCTTATGTAAGACTGATAAAGTAAACAAAATCTGATTGGATGCAATGGAAGGATGCTGGTATATGCTATAAACAACCATTATTTTATTACCAGCAATTGTAGATACAAACTGTTATAAAAACTAATATTCTATGAGAATATTGTACTTTTAGTGTGACATTTTATTTTTTTCCCCTGTCATCTGAAAAGCAATTTGTGTCCAGCTAAAACTTTATTTTTCCCCCTGTCAACTGAAGAGCATGTTGTACCAGCCAAAACTTTATTTTTTTTTTTTTTTTAAGCTGATTCTGATAAAAGCAAAGCGTTTCTAAATGCAAGAGGCGTGGGTATTCTTACTTGAATCTTGTGTGTTTTTGTTTGCCTTCCAAATCTGCAGTAATCAAGAATTACACAACTTCCTAATTTTGCCTCTGTGCAGGAGCTTCTTGTAATAAAGACCCCTCTCTCTATGCAGGGTGACTGGTCTTGGATCCGCCTCTCCTGTAGATTTTTTTAGTGGGTGGGCCTGTTGGGTCAGACCTACATACTGTAGTATGTTAAAATACAATTTAATACAAAATTAAACAAAACACGCTTACAAAGATAATATCATGGTGGCATGACAGTCAAAGATTAAGGGAATCTGCAATTCCACTGCATGCTCTCCTGCCCTGGCCAGGGGTTGAGTCCATTACTGCTGAGCAGCTCCAAAGTTCTGATGGAACCACCATGCAGAATCAAGTCCAGAGCTTTATCTGTTTGAGTGGAGGTTCTCATCAAAATGCCTTCCTGCTTCTTTGGTCAGTTGTGGAAGATGGACACCGATGGATGGGCTCAGTATTCTGCATGGTGGTTCCTTCTGATCTCCAGCACGGTCTCTCTTCACCTGAGGCTGCTCAGCATGCATGAACTCATCCAGGCCTGGACTGGGACAAAAATAGGTCTGGGCATTTTAGACTGAGCAGCCAATTTGTCGGGGAGGGAATGGGCGGTTGGTAAGGGGATATTCATGGAGTTGGTCCTCTACAGTGCAGTCCTCTTTATATCACAGTGCTCCTTTACATTACAGTGCAAAGAGGCACTGTATTGATTACAGTGCCCCATTTACAGTGCAGTCCTCTTTATATTACAGTGCCTCTAGCAATCACAGCCACCCCCCCCCCCCCCAACTCTCTAATCACAATGCCCCTATATATTCAGCAAAGAGACGGCCCCATCCAGCAAAGGTACATCCCTGTCCACCGCCATTTACAGATCGGGACTGTAACACTGGATAAATGTAGGGTTCAGTGCGCTCCCCTTCCTCCCAGTGTGTGATGGCCTTCTCCACCCGTGTGCAGCTTTCACAGTGTGCTGGCCAGTGAAGGAGAGAGGCCGCCATTGCCCCTTCAGTGCAGCTGTTTCTGCAGCAGCCGGCCCAGGTGGTGTGTGTTCCCTGCAGGCGATTTCTGCATGTCACTGGAGCTGTCTCTCCCGCCTACTTCTGCACCTCCTGCTGGACCTGCTTTAGGTATGGGCGTAAAGTGGGAGACTAGCGGTGGCCGCGGTCTGTTAGCCCTGTGCAGACCACGGTTGCTCCTTACCTCCCACTGTGTGGCCCAGTTATCAATAGACTGCTCTATTTAGGACATGCAGCCTGGCAGCCCTAGCCCACCGGCAAATGCCCAGTGGCCAGTCCGGGCACAGACTCATCCCCTGGTCAGGGCAGGAGAGCCCGCAGCAAGATGGGTTTCCTTAACCTTTGACTGACTGTCATGCCACCCATGATCTTATTTTTGTGAATGTGTCTTTTTAAATTTTCTTATTATATGAATCTGGAAGCTCCCACTAATCTCCAAGCAAGCTGGCTGCATTGGGTTTCTAGTTAGTGTCAGGTGCAGTACATGCTTGTTTAGAATCTAGACTTACCTTCTAACTGCATACTCACAGTATGTGTTTGTACTGGTTTATCAGAGTCTGTGACCGTTTTTTTTCATTACCTTCTAAGAAGCGTTTCCTCCTGTTTTTATTGTGGGTTTTAATGAATATCCATTTCCTGTCTGTAGTGTGGTTAAGCTCTGTAAGGAAACTTTTTGTTTGTGTTGATATTTTTTCTATGTACAGTAATGATGTCACCCTTACTTTTACAAGGTAATCACTGGGTTTGTAAAGGTATGAGGTTCACACACAATGCATTTATATATTTTGTGGCTATTAAGAAATATATTAAAATACACTTTTTTTTTTTGTGCCTGGAGTTCTGCTTTAATTTTTGGTCCAAAAGGATTTGTATTTCTCTCCATCTACTCCTGTGATTTACACATCTCTGCCACACAACAAAGACTTGTTTGGCAGGACAGGACACCTTATTTTTCTCCATTGCAGTTGGACCTACAGGTCTTGTTCATTGCCCAGACTGTGCGTGGAAAGTGAAAGGAGAAGCACAGGACTGATGAGCGCATTTCTTTCTGCTTCCTTCATCTATTGGCATGCTCCTTCTTAACACATGAGCACTGCAGCACAACTGATTGGCTCCCTGTGCTGTTTCTCTCTCCCACAGTCTGAGCTCTGCTCTACAGGTTCTGCAGGAAGCGTATACCAAGTCAAATTCACTAACATTTTAAACCGTACACTTAATTATGTATTAATGAATACAGAGCTGATTTAGTGTCCTTTTTATATCTGCTTTGAGTTTATACACAAAAAACAATTCCCAGAATCTGAATTGTGCAAGCACAACACAACTGGTAACGGAAGCCCTCTGTATTGTTATGTCTTTGTATGCTCTCTGTATATAACCTGTTCATGAGCAGTTTCTACTTTTTCTTCACAGCCCCCAGAGGAGGTGTATTCTACGGGAGAGTCTCTGACCATCCGATTCCACTCTGATGACTCTATTAACAAAAAGGGATTCCACATCCGATACACCAGCACTAAATTCCAAGACACTCTTCATGCCCGCAAGTGATACCCTGCCACCCTCTATCCCTCTGCCTTGTTATTTTCTGGGACCAAGTCCACCTCTACTGGGGACAATTCCTGACCTGCAGGACCCCAACCTCTGATTCTATGGATGTGAGGTGGCAAGCAGCATCACACAGGATAAAGGACTAGAAGATCCTCAGGGATGTCTAAGGGCACAGACTTTTCGCTGGCAGATGGACAAACATTTTCCTATATGTCTTGTTACATATCTACATTGACATACATGACAAAGGCTCTGCCTGAACACACTAATCCTGTGCTGAATGCTGGTTAGGGAACAACTTTATCCTGTGAATTTTCTCTTCTGGATTTTTAAAGGGCCACTAAACTTAAACCACAAGTTGCCTTTCATAAATAAGGCACAAGTAGCATTCAGAGCTGTGTGTGAGGTTTCGTACAGTAACCGCACAGGAAGTTTGTATTAAAGTTTAATGACTGCAACCTATTTCACATAAGAGGTAGCTGTCTACGGAGTCCTTGAATGGAATTAATATAAACCCAAACATTTTATTCAATAAACAGTGCAGGGATTAAAGTACAAAATGCAGTAGTCCACAGGAACCAACCCAAATCCACTTTGATGATGTTAGACAGGTCAGGAATGGGTGGTTCACATTGCACTTTGCTTATTAAGCGATTTTCTGGAATAAACCTGAAAATATGATGTGTAGCAGAATACCACTCCACCTTCCTCCTATATCACCCATTATGTCTTCTTTTCAGTTCAGCTGCTGAAACAATCGCATATGGTTCTGTATTGGTTACTTACAGGTGCTTTATATAAAAGTCTTAAGGGTGTATTTTATAAAAGAATCTCAGAGCTATTTGTCTCCTGAAACTGCATGTACATTTGTTCTATATAATAGGGCACAAACTTATGGTATAAGGCTAATTTCTCTCCAGATTGCATGTTCTTTATTCACACAGAATAGTGAATTGGGAAAATTACCACATTATGACCACTATTTACTATGATCCTTCTCTCCATCTTGTGGCCATAATGTGGTATTTTCCTGATTCACTCTGTTCTGTAGGAATAATCACATTCAGCCTGTAGAGAAAGTAGCCTAATAACATTTTGTTTTTGCCCGCTTTTGCACAGAACAAATGTGCATGCAGTTTCACAGGATGAGAAGCTCAACTTTTTTTTATTATTATTATAAATGCACCCCTAAGTGTGTGTGTGTATGTATGTGTTCGGTTTAGCGGTCCTTCATTCATATTCTTTTTTTTTTTTTTGGCCAGTAAGCTGGGTCTGGCTTTGAAGCTTTTCTATATAGTCCTGAGATGGGCACTTTCCTTCTTTTTTAAACTATTTTTACTGACGCCCGTTGTCTAATATCTCGCCATTTTGTTTACCCTTCTTTACCCCCCAAAAAAGAAAAAAATATATATATATACTTTTGAGGCTCCTGTTACTCTATAGGCATTTCTGTGCTTCAGCCAGTCTGGGTAATATCAGGATTGTAGTCACTGAGCCATACAGAAGTATCTGACCCCACCCGATTCAGTGAGATCATCTGCTATGAATGTGTAAGCTATGGACTCATTAAAGATAGTTGCCATGTGAATCTTGAGTGTTGGACCGGTGCTGTGCTCACCGTATTGTGGCAATAGTGTAAAACCTACACCAGAAAAAAAGAAGGTGAATGCACATGAGTGAAATGACTGATTTTTTTTTTTTTGTTTGTTTTTTTTGCGTATTCATATTTTAAAAAAACATCTGTATGTATGTGCAGTTTACAATAAGTACAGGCAATGGCAAGACTGTGTGGTATGTATGTCCTTCATTGTCTGTGGTGACCTCTGCCCGTTGCGGTTTCCTAAGCACCTTTGTGATTCCTTTTCATTCTCTTTTTCTCTGGTGAACCAGGAATGTGGCTGAACTGTGAGACAGATTGATGTGACATTAGATTCCACACAGATGATGGCCTTCATCCAGCAGTTTGGAGCTGCAGGTGATCTGTGGTGCGGGACAGAAAAAAAAGCAGGCATTGCAGATTTCTGCACTGCACCACAGCTCACTCAAAGCCTGCATTCAAATGTAAAAAGGCACATAGAAAACAAGTGTTTGCCATGTGCCCTTGCAGATATCTGTTTTTCTAGGACACAAAACTGCTGATTTCTGTCCAAGTATGAACAAGAATTCAGGGCTCATTGAGACCTATGTGGTCTGATGTGGTATGTCATGTGTTTAATATACATTGCTTTAAAGGGTTATTTCACATACTTAGAAAAAAATGAAAAGGTGCATTACCCCTGTATGGTCTCTGCTGTATTTCCATGGATAATGAGCTGTCAGTGCTCACTCAGCTGGTGCAGCGGTCTGAGGATCCTTGACTTCCTTCAGTAGTGCTTCTGGAATGGATCAGAGTGACACTCTGTTCCTGCGCTGACCAATAAAACAGAGGGAGAAGAGCGGGGATTTCAAATCCCTAGACCAGCTGCAGTTCATCACCCACTGAGGTAGGTACCTCTGTGAGTGATGAAAAGGTGTGCACTTACACTTTAAGACAGTCCTCTCCAAAGCTCTGCAACAGACCTAAAATCAAACCTGTACTATTTTTTTGATATGCACGCCACAATACATGGTAGTGGATTAATGTGCATTGCGGTGAGCTGCAACACAGGTGCTTTGGTTTAGTCCAGAGGTCTCCAAACTGTTTAATCAAAGGGCCAGTTTACAGACTTCGGGGGGGCCGGACTGTGCCCTGAGGGAGTAAACAATGCCCCATCTTAGGTATTAGGAGGAGAAATAGTTTGTGTCAGTGGGAGGAATTGTGTCCCATCATTGGTGTCAATGGGAGGAATAGTGCACAATTGCTGGTGGCAAGGGCCGGATAAAGGCAAGCAAAGGGCCACATCTGGCCCCCCAGGCTGCAGTTTGGAGACCACTGGTTTAGTCTGTTGAGTACCATTGCACGGTAGTGCAAATAAAAAAAAAAAAGTAATCATCTGAGGTGCCATTCCAAATTAATGCCACTGCAGTATATGGGTTGTGGTAAAGTATGGTTGAACATGCATGGGCTCTAAAGGCTAACTCCAGCCAAGATTTTTTTTTAATCAAAAATTTTTATATATATTTACAGAAGTATTAGAAATATGAACTCTCTTCTACTATATCTATCAATTTTTTTTTTTTACCTGGCTCCATGGGGAAGAATTACCCATACTTTGTCCATGTGATGCCTTTAAAGGGAAAGGATGTGACCCTAACAGGAAGTCACCAGCAGTAATAAAATCTAACCCTTCCTACAAGTGGGCTTTTGTTTTGGTTTGTGACCCTGTTGAAGAGATTTACCCTTATTTCCTGTCTTGACAGGAAGTTAGTAAAAATCTTAGTAAAAAATACTGAGAAAAATACAAGGGCTGCCCTCTTGAAAATGCTAGTGGCTTGGCTTTCTCTGGCTTTTAATACTTTTCTCAATAACTGACTTGCAACAAGTATGCAGATCAGCAAAGTCGGAGTGAAGTCAGAACCGGTCTTCATACCTGATCCAGGTCTGTGGCTCAGACACCATTAATTCAGAATGACAGCCAGGCAGATGACAGTTTCCAAAGGAGAGGTCAACAGTGGCATGCTCCATACCACTTAATTTAGTATTCCTAATTTTAATTAATTCTCAGGACTTCAAACCATTTGTGGTATAATGCAAAAGTGACATCACCGAGGAATGGTGTGTCACAAGGAGATCAGTGCCCAGTTGTCTTAAAGCACACGTGTTATGGGAGCAGTAGGGAAGATGCCATTGCTGTTTTTTTTTTTATCCTGAAAATGCTAGTTTCCTGATTATATTTGGCTCCAGAACTTTTGACTCCCAGACTCAGGGCATTCTGTCAGAAGTGTCAAAAAATTGGTTCCTAACTGGTTCCAGGGTCAGTGCCTCAGAAAGCACAGAAGACACGGCATTAGTATATCGGTGAGAAAACTAGCATTCTCTAAAGTAGAGGTCTGCAATGGCAGCCTACATATTTCTGTCATGACAGAGATACCTTTTAACACATATGCAGAACTCATCACTGAGGTGGTTCAACTATAGGGCATGGACAATAACAGAAGCACCTTCCAGTGTTAGGGTGGCCATACACGGACTGAACATTGTAATTAAACAAAACCATAAGATACAATGGAAAATTGTTTTGCAACCAGTCTCGGAACATGCTTCCATGAAGAAAACGGAACTAAGCTTTTAGTACTGGTGCCAAAGTTCAAAGACCCTGGCAGGTCTTCAGATGATTCCTTGAAAGATGGGCAGCTATCTCGCTGGCTGTTACTTTCTATTAGGCTGTCCATAAAAGGACTGATATCTAACGGGGAAGCGCTGACTATGTTTGGCTCAGGACAGCCACATCTGGCTGATAGGAAAACAGTTATCTTATTATTTAGTGCAACTTGCAGCTTACTGGCTTCGTGCTTTTCTGTTATCAAATGTATAGCCATCAACTAAATAAAGCTCCTGTCTACATATGATCCAAATATCGAGTGAGTACCCTGCAGTCCATTTAAAGCCATACTTCGATCTCTCAATAAACATTGACCTTTTTTATGGTGCTAGCATTGGCAAATAAATGGGGAATCAATTCTTATGTGTCCATGTGTACCTCAAAAAAAAAAAGCAAATAGCTGCATATAGTGCGTTATCCTCAAAAATATATAACAAAATCAATTATATTTTGAGGTACACATGAACACATAAGAATTGGTTTTTGGATATGGATCAAGTTTATGTATGATAATTTGAAGATTCACAGACGCTGAGGAAATAAATGGGGAAGGTATATCATATTTGCTTATTTTAAACTTTTTTTTACACGTTTAAAGTTGGTTTCTGGCCTAGGACAAAATATCATACATCCCAGGAGTTTTCATGGGCATTTTTTTTTTTGTATTTGAAGGAGGGGCGTTCTCAGCTAAGCACACCATCCAACCTGCATAAAAGGGTGAAAGTAGTCACCCACTAAATGTAGCATTAAAATCGTCCA